AATTAGACTGCAAGCCTGTGATAAAAGCGTCTCGAATAGCCTCATCCCGATGTTCATCGGCAGAAACCGCACGAAAATTGCAGTCCTTGGCAAGGTAACGTAATTTTTGCAGGAACGCGTCGACTAATTGGCCCGGTTCTTGTTTGGTAGTAGCCAGCACGTGGCGGGAAAACACTTCATTTTTGGGTTTAATGTACATCTTTTCGAGCGTCTGGATGGCGTCTTCGTAAGTAGTACAATCACAAACATGTTGATAGACGGACGGAGAAAGGAAATTTACCAAAAGTTTTCTTTTGTCAACGTTTGGGAGTTCGATGCATGAGAGGAAGTTCGTAAACGTTTCGTGCCAATGGATCCATTGTTCTGAAGCAGAAGAGGATTGGGGATCGGCGTCAAACCGATCTGGGCGAAACAATCGTTCCATTGTGTTTTGATAGAAGATTAAATTGTTGCGCACTCGAATGATTGTGCCAGAAACAGAGAACGAGGATTGCCGAATGATTGGCTTTAATCTTCTATCAATTTCAGTACATCAGCTAAAACATTAGGAAACACAATTAGCTCAACGAGTAGCGAGTAAAAAGTTAAACACAACGTCAATATATAACATTCTTCCCCGCCGGAGGGATTATTGTCAGGAGAATATAAATTAGGCTTCGCGGTTTCGAAGATTATACGGTCGAACACGCTGTTGGTCTGTGATGTACTGTAGGACATTCCCTGGAACCTCACTGGGTTGTTCTGGTGGTGCCGTTTCGCCTCCAGGAGGATCAAGCGAGTGTGATTGAGTCTCGTCTGGAGGAGCCGCTGCACTTTCGATTGATTCAGATAAATAGACATCTGATATTGTCTGTGCTTTGGGTGCCAGATGTCTAAGAGAAACAGTTTCTTCCTTTCCGTTCGGGAAACGAACGCAGGCATACTGCGGGTTACAATTAACAAGTTCCACCTCTTCCACTAACGGATCGTATTTGGAAGAACGTGTCATCCTTTTTAACAGAACGGGGCCTGGAGTCGATAACCAAGTCGGAAGAGAGGTGCCGTACGTTGACTTCCGGTGGAAGTTAAGGAATCTTTCATGTGGTGTCGTGTTAGTAGCGGTGCACAATAAGGAGCGAACAGAGTGCAAAGCATCTAGAAGCACACATTCCCACTCGGTAATGTCCCGTTGTTGGGTCTTCAACGCCAGAGTGATAGACTTCCAAAGAGTACCATTAAGCCGTTCGACTTGTCCGTTACCGCGCGGATTGTATGGGGTAGTTCGACTGGTTGCTACACCCCTGTCGTGAAGAAACGTTTGTACTTCACCTGACATGAAAGCTCCACCACGATCAGAATGGACGTATGAGGGCATTCCGAACAAAGAGAACAACTGATTAAAACACTTGATCACGGTGGATGAGGACACATCCGTACACGCGAAGGCGAATGGGAAACGAGAGTACTCGTCGATCATTGTTAGAAGGTATTTGTTGTGGGAGGTCGATGGAAGTGGGCCTTTAAAATCTATGCTGACGCGTTCAAACGGCTGTGTAGCTTTAATAAGATTGCCAAAAGGGTGATTGAGGAAACGAGGCTTCAATTCCGAACAAATACTACACTGATTTGTAATCGCCTTAACATCCTCGGTCGAAAACGGCAAATTTTTTGAGCGAACGAAATGAAGCATCCGCGTGATACCGGGGTGACATAATGTATTATGAAGATGTTTGAGATCCACCTGTGACATCGCAGATACGTAATCAGTCCGCGATAGTGCGTCAGCGGCTTTATTCTGATTACCTGGACGGTACTGGACATCGTAATGAAAACAGGACAGTTCAAGTCTCCATCTCTGGATTTTGTCGTTTTTTACTTTGCCTTTGTGTTGTTTGTCGTACATAAAGGCGACTGATCGTTGGTCCGTGACAAGTGTGAAGTGATTGCCGATCAGGTAGTGTCTCCACTTTCTCAGAGCTTCAACAATCGCGTACGCTTCTTTTTCGATTGCTGAATGATGCCGCTCACTGTGTGACAGAGTGCGTGAAAAGAAAGCTACCGGGCGCCCGTCTTGATTGAGAGTGGCCGCAATGGCTATGTCGGAAGCATCAGTTTCCACAACGAGTGGACGAGTGTAGTCTATGGTGAAAACGGCTGCCTTTTCCAAATCGTGTTTGAGCTTATTCAGTGCCGCTTGTACGCTATCTGGAATCGGGAAGATCTGATTGCGGACGATTTGATGAATCTTATCTGAGAAACATGGGATCCAGTGTGCGTAGTATGCCAGCATTCCGACCAATCTTCGTTGTGAACGGATGTCACATGGATGAGGCAACTCCCGTAGGGCTCGAAAACGTTCAGGATCCGGTTTTATCATACCATGAGATATTTCGTATCCCAGTAATAGTACTTTCGCAGTAGCTATGATGCTCTTTTTCTGGTTAAATGTAATACCGTGACGTTTTGAGGCCTCTAAGAATTTCTTCAAATTTCGATCATGTTCCTGGGCATCGCGACCACACACGGTAACATTGTCAACATATGCGAATGTATCGAGCAGATTTTCCTCGCGTATGATGTTGTCTATGGTGCGTTGAAAGCAGGCCACACCATTAGTAACTCCGAACGGAATGCGGCGAAATTGAAAGAGTTTACCACATGCCTCGAATGCAGTATATGGCTTGTCTTTGTCGAGAATGGGGATCTGGTGGTACGCACTTTGAAGGTCTAGTGTGCTAAACACCGTGTAATGGGAAACCTTCTCTACAAGTTCGTCCACCTTCGGCAGAGGATACGCATCAAGGTAAGTGAAGCGATTTATGGTTTGACTGTAATCGATGACCATGCGCTTCTTATGCCTGTCATTCGTAGTAACGAGAACCTGAGCGCGCCAAGGAGAGTTAGACGGCTCAATAATTTTGTCAGCTAGTAACTTCCGAACCTCCGTCTCGATAAATACCGTATCCGTGCGAGAGAAACGACGAGATTTAGTGGCAATTGGAGTACATCCAGGGGCGAGATTATCAAACAAAGAGGGGGCGTTAACTCTCGCTGCTTTCAATGTGCATATGGCGAATGGGGGCCGCTTACCCGTGAATGGTATGATGACACTTTGGTGTTGACTGAGGAAATCCAAGCCAAGGATGACGTCTGAACACAAATTGGATAAGAGCGAGAGTTTGACACTTTCGTATAGTGTGCTTTTGTACAGAACGGTAGCATAAAGATGACCGCTAGTAACACACGATAAGTTCGTTGAAGCCATCGAGATAGCGCTCTTAGAGGATGTTATTGTCCAACCATGCTTTAGTGCGATGTCAGAAGAAATATAACTTTCGCAACTACCAGTATCGATAAGTGCGTGAAGTGGGATATTATTCACTATAACATCAACGATTGATTTGGAAAGTCCCATGGATGAAGAGATGTTGAAAATGGATGAGACACCAGGGTTCACCGTCGATGTGATACGGCTTGAACCCAGTTTGGATCGACAAACTTTTTGGAAATGACCTTTCTTGCCGCAAGAATGACAGAAAGACTCACGAGCCGGGCATTTTGAACGAATGTGCTTACCGTTGCCACAGAAGAAGCAAGATAAGGATGTGCTTGCAATCGTGTCACTAGATTCCATCTGAGAGATAAAAGCATCACGAACAGGAGTAAGAGGCTTATCAGTTTTGATAGATGCGGCGCCACAGGGAACATGAGAAGACGAGTCGTATGAGAGTGACTGTTGTTGAGCATGTTCAAGCAGACGTGCCTCGTCAAAAGCTTGTTGAAGCTTAAGAGTGTGTTTTTCTAGTAGTCGTTGGCGAACGGAGTTAGACTGCAAGCCTGTGATAAAAGCATCTCGAATAGCCTCATCCCGATGTTCATCGGCAGAAACCGCACGAAAATTGCAGTCCTTGGCAAGGTAACGTAATTTTTGCAGGAACGCGTCGACTAATTGGCCCGGTTCTTGTTTGGTAGTAGCCAGCACGTGGCGGGAAAACACTTCATTTTTGGGTTTAATGTACATCTTTTCGAGCGTCTGGATGGCGTCTTCGTAAGTAGTACAATCACAAACATGTTGATAGACGGACGGAGAAAGGAAATTTACCAAAAGTTTTCTTTTGTCAACGTTTGGGAGTTCGATGCATGAGAGGAAGTTCGTAAATGTTTCGTGCCAATGGATCCATTGTTCTGAAGCAGAAGAGGATTGGGGATCGGCGTCAAACCGATCTGGGCGAAACAATCGTTCCATTGTGTTTTGATAGAAGATTAAATTGTTGCGCACTCGAATGATTGTGCCAGAAACAGAGAACGAGGATTGCCGAATGATTGGCTTTAACCTTCTATCAATTGCAGTACATCAGCTAAAACATTAGGAAACACAATTAGCTCAACGAATAGCGAGTAAAAAAGTTAAACACAACGTCAGTATATAACACGGCAGTCATAGAACACTCGATTTCTAGCATTTGTTAGATTTCGCGAATAGCGGTGGATGTGGATGAGTAACCACGGTTGGTGACTTTGGAGTTTCCTAAACACATCAGATGATAAGTATCCACAATAGTCATCTGTGGTGAATGCAGCTTTTATTGATGCGAACTGCGACCGTTCGCAAAGGTAAGATACGAATAAGTATGAGGGTATGTTTCACTGCGGAGGTGCAACAATTAGATGATGAATTTCTCGATTATTTTATGTGGTAGTTATTGGTCCCTAACCCAAATTTATAGTTTATAAATTTTGTTGGTTTATCCATGCTGGAAATATCCCCTCGATTACACAGAGCTAGTTTTGACGAGCCATTCATAAAGTAATGCAATTCTTGCTTCTTTTTATTAAACTTACGTGTCTTGGGTCTGTAACCGATCCATCCAGCATGAACCTGAATGAAATGGGGAAAACAAAACGACATAAGGAGTGTTTTGCTGTTGGCACCAGTTCCATCATTATCCTGGCACGTTATCCGTATCAGACTGATTTGCTGCACTTAGCTTACTCTTTTTGGCATTCTCAATTCGTTCCAGTTGACACGGTCAGTGGCTGTCGGTCGCCACTGGTTCATGCCAGTACGGTCCAAATGAAACAACCACTCGTCCCCCCGGTATCATTCAGTGTCCCAGGTTTGCCCCTTCTTTTTGGGGTTGGCGACACGGGACAGCTAGGACTTGGTCCAGATATCACTGAACGTTCCAGACCATGTCGGTTTAGCAAAGCCAGCCTGACCGCCTTGGGTATAAGCGATCAGGATTTGGAGTCACTCACTACTCAGATCTGTGCGGGTGGCATGCATACGGTTTGCCTAACCGGAGCCGGTCGAGTGATCACTTGTGGCTGTAATGACGAGGGAGCCCTAGGACGAAACGTGTTGTCGGATTCAGAACTTCAGCCACCCACCAAGAAACCGCATATTGATGGAAAGGAATCCGGCCACCAGAACTCTGATGTTACAGACCTTCTCGCAGAGGAAACATACCCAGCCTACGTGCCTCTCCCACCCAGCGTCAAGATATGTATGGTGAGTACCACTTGCTCCACTGTTCCTGGCGTCTTTATTCGATGTCGAGGTTGCTTACTTAGAGGTGCGCTTTCCTCGTACTGTTAAGCTCATTGTTAATGTACTTATACTATGACCTTGGGTTTTCTCTAAATGGCTGCGGGATTTGTAGACTTCGCGTTAACATCATGCTCTCCTGTCTTAGCGCAACTATTCTGGCGAGTCCACGCCAAACGAGTAATGTAACCCGGAGATAGGTATAGTCTTTCTTTGGATGATAACTTATTCGACTTTAATCGGGCAGTTTGACCGTTAATATGCAGCTATCAAATCTATGTTGTGCCGGCTAGGAGGAATAAAATTGCGCGCCTTTAAAATGTCGTATATCGATTGGGTGCATGATTGGTTTTAATATGCGAGAGTACATATGGTAATCTAAATGTGGAGATCAACAAATGTTTCCTTCGTACTATCTCCAGAAATAATGCGTTTTCTGCCACACTGCTACAGGAGAAAGTGGCAACTAGTTTTTTTATTCAAGACTCACTATGCTCTCTGTATACATATTGCAGCGAATGTCCATCGATACCGAAGGCGATTCATTTAGCAGAATTTTTCACCTGGCGAAGGGTTTTCACCGAGCATGACACAAGCAAGAGATTTAACACCAATCCACTTTTCAAATGGGTCTGTTTCGTCCATAAGCTGGTGTAAGCTTATATTCTTCCGCTCTTCCACTCCTTATCGGTTCAAACCGAATAACTGACATAAAACTCAGTTGAGGATACACTTTGTCTGCTACTGTTAGGTTTCGGCGGGCGATAGTCACACAGCTGCCCTGGATTCCGAAGGTCAGGTCTGGCTATGGGGCACGTTCCGTGGCGCCAGTGGTCCTATTGGGCTCACAGAAGCCGGAGAAATTAGTCAAACTCCAAAAAGACTGTTTCCTCCCATCTCCACCGCACCCGCTACTGACAGAGCTCCTGGAGGTGAGGGGAAGCCAATCCCATCCAGTGCAGTTAGTAGCTTGCACATGGGTATGGGTGCCCGCGTGGTGAAAATTGCCTCTGGACAAGATCATCTGGTTTGTCTCACTGATGAGGGGCGTCTCTACACAATGGGCTGTGGGGAACAGGGCCAGTTAGGCCGAATTGCTGAGCGCTTTGCCCGTACTGGAGGCAGACATGGAATGAGTAAGTGACAACTCATGTTTTTATTTTTTGCGCCTTTGTTCCACATATGATGTATCGTCTACCCTTTTTATTACTTTTTCTGGTCATCAGACATGGTAATTTGGTATAGGACTGCTCAAAACTGTATGGCAATTAATAAAATGGCCGGTTTGCCTACTGGTTTATTGGTCTGTACTGGTTTAGCCCATACGTCGAATTCGTTGACATTGGTGAGTGACCAGATAAGTGATCTTGGATTTTCACGGTCTTCACGCTGGCTCTCATGATTACCGAGCCGTATGTCTGAACCTTACATGCGGTCGTGAACAACATGAGCTACCGCGAGATGGCTCAGTGGTTAGAGCGCGAATTTACTGACAGGAGGGTCCGTGGTTTGAACCCGACCTCTGCCTCCCGACTGCTCTTATCTAGGCTTGGGCTACTTGGCAGTATCTCAGCTCTTGTGCTTCCTTCGGATGGCGTGGCAGCTAGGCACCGAAAGGGTGTTACAGCTGAGCGATTATTATCATATTATTAAGCTACCGCTCGTTTGGTCCTGATTAGGTTCATCAAGCAGATTTGGCAGATCCGTTGTCTGGTGCTCGGAATCGAAGTCCACACTTTTAACCACATCTCGCAATCTCTGACCGCACCTTTTCACATAACTCATATGAAGGTAATCCTATTGAAGAGGATGTTAGTAGCTTAGGTTGCGAGCAATCACAGTCGAAAGTAAGGCCTAGATTAGATAAGGCCTAGAGACTATAAAGGCATAGTTCTTATCATCAGCTGTAAACTATGCATATGCAGTAGTTATGCCTGCCACAGTTTTGTTTGCGGATCATCTGGGAGGATAGGAGTAGGTGGCTATGCGTTCGAAATAGTGGCTGATATGATAGGTAAGCGGATGCTGGAAATCAGGAGGAGAAGCCGAACACTAAGGGCAACAGCTTGTCCCATGCACCTCAACTGCACCCTGTCTGTCAATGCCTCTAATCATTGATGTGTGCCCTCAGGTTGCCAGTACAGAGAGCCGGTAGTGATCAGCGCAGTTGGGTTTACTGGTAATATCTTTCATACATGTCTAGTCATTACCTAATCTCCTCTGTCTCGTTGCCATCCTCGAATGGTTTTGCGCGAAAGGCTATCCGAAGAATTCGGCTGACTGGCATACCGAACACGTGACCAAGCCAACATGATCTGTGGAGTATGATCAGTTCATCTATCGTGGGCAAGTTTATCCCAAAAACCATTCGACGGACTTCAGTGTTACTGGTCCGATGTCTTCACCGGACTCTAGCAATGGTCCAAGGTCGCCGGTGGCCAAACACTGAAAGTTTTTTGACGCCCTTTTGACTTCCCTAGATTTTGAGCGCACGCATCTTGTATATTCTCCTGGCAAATCCCTTGAGCTAGTACGTAATTCGTATTGTTGTCGGGTGGTATTGTAGGTAACTCGGTGACCTGAGTGATGATGTTTCTTTTTTTGTTATCATTGATTATGATATGTCATTTACCAGCTGTGGATGCTTTGGTAAGATGCAAAGTTTGCCAAGGGAATTTGGCACCTCTGTCGAGCTCGAGATGGCCCAGTGGTTAAGGTGCGAACTTACTGACCGGAAGGTCCGTGGTTCGAACCCGACCTCTACACCTCGACTGCTCCTGTTTAGGCCTCGGCAACCCGATAGTATCTCGACCCTCGTGCTTCCTCCGGGTGGCATGGCAGATAGGCATTGAAAGGCTCTACATCCGAGTAGTTATTGCTATTATTATTATCACTATGATATTATTTAACATCTCTGTCATCTAGACGTATTTCCGCTTCGCTCCAACAGTTTTCTGACGTACAGTCGTTCTTGCTGATGCACTCTGTGAACTGACGACGGTTACTCTCTTCCTGCTCATTAGTAACTTGCGTACTTACTCAACTTTCCGGCCTATTGCCTGTCCAATTTAGACTCCTTGTATTCTATTATCTTGCGGCGCCTCTAGCCAGACGCAGGGAGCATCACGCTGATCCCATCCTGGAAAATGAGTCACACCAACAGTATCCGGATTCCTCATTTTCGTCCTTATACCCTGATAGATTTTGCGGTGATGGATAGCAGTGTAGAAAGCTTACCATAAAGCATCTTCGAGTCACCTGTGAATTTTCAAGGACTGTTTGGGTCCTTTATTTCACTAAACGCTGCATTACTCCCCTCCCCCCAGTGGTATCGCCTACTGTAAGCCGACTCAATCTATGCTGTTAGGTTGAGGACTACCATCCTTCTGGTAGCCAGAAGCATTGCATCCCACCGGAATCTTCAACCGCTGGTGTAATATGTGAACACCGTCTTTGAACTAATGGTGGTCGCACATCGACAGGCTTCAGCTATCTTTGAACAATACATCCTCACCATATCCCCATTGTCTTCTGTTTCTTTAGATGCGTTGCTAAACCCGGCTGAGTGTCGTGTCCGTGGTGCTGTGCGGTTTTCTGATGCATGGGCGGGTGGTTTCGCCACTTTTGCACGCTGTCAAGCCACCGGAACCATTTATGCATGTGGCCTGAACAACTACGGTCAGTTAGGATTAAAGAAACCGTCTGCAGTTGTGAACGGCGATGCAGATGAGAACGATGAAGCCACAATTGATGGGGGACTTGGTGAAGAAGGAGACGAAATGGATGTAGACGCAGCACGGTTGATTACTGACCAGAAGGAAGTGGATAAATCCGAAGCTGCTCTACTTGCCCGACAAGGTCCTCTTATTCAGTTTATGCTCACCAAGGCTCACGGTTTTTCCCGTGACCGGAACTGGCGCCAGTTTGCCGTTGGTATGCATCACACATTAGCATTGGATGGTCTCGGTAGGTATTTTCATACTGTTTATTTCCTCTGGTTACACACTTTCCACACTTTACAACCGAACTAAATTAGCTGATTGCTTAGCTTTCCAAATTCGCATGCATTCTAGTTCTTGCACAGCGTTTCAGAACGTTCATTCATTTAGTTGAGTGCTGGTGCTGCCTGAGGTATTTTGTTTGGCCTACACAGACAGGACTTCACAGCATTCACTCTATCTAACGACCTCCCTGTAGGACATCCCACCCTAACGTGATCCAATGGCTGTGCGTGACACTCCCAAACGATATTGGCCCTCCGGTTGCGAAAGCCTTCCCCCATATGAACGCCTTTATCTTTTCGGAGTCCATATGGATGGTATGTCGCTCGGCTCGATGTAGCACGTGGATCAGTGAACTTTTTGACAGCAGTCGCTTGAATTCCTCCATTTCCTAGCTATGTAACAGTTGGCTCCCATGACACATATTGCCTACAAAGCTAAACGGTGTTCGCTAGTTATATTTGACCACGGAAAGGTTACTGTACACGGTTTTATTCTCATACGCTCCCAATCAGATAACTGTTCTGTGTGTAACTAGTAGGCACATTTTTCAACTGCATAGATAATTAGCGTCCGTAGCTCGTACCGAATATCGAGAGGGGGCAGGTTCTCATATTACTCCCTACCGGCAGCTGACGTGTACACCGTTGAGAGCTCGGTTCTGCGAGATAGCACATTCAGGCCATTCGAATAGTTGACTCATTGTTCATGTCTTGGCCCAAAATCATTTTCCGAATCCACGTAGTCTACTTTGAGTTCAGCTACTGCTTAATTTTGGTTTCATGCTTACAAAGGCTTCTCATACTTCTTACATGCTTACTACCCATTTTTTACATAGGTCATGTTTACGCGGTCGGTCGTCCGGATTACGGGCGGCTCGGTTTGGGAAAGCCAACTGCAGTATCTCACTTATCAGTTCCCCAGCCATCGCGCGTGCAAGGACTGCTCTCCGATCGCACTTGTTCATGGGTAGGATGTGGTGAAGCCTGTTCTTTCGCCGTAGACACATCCGGTGAGTTGTAAAGTTTTTACTCTACCGTTACCCGGTGCCTATGTTCAGCTGTAACGCCCTTTCGGTGCCTAGCTGCCATGCCATTCAAAGGAAGCACGAGGGCTGGGATACTGCCAGGTTACCCAAGCCTAGACTGGGGAAGTCGAGAGGCGGAGGTCATTTAAGGACCTCCAGGTCAGTAAATGAGCGCTCTAACCACTGAGCTACCTCGTTCCCTACCCCGTCCCTGCTCAGACTTGATGCTTAGCTCAAAGCGCTCTCTCTGAGTTGAACGGTTCTCCTTTATCCGATTGTCGGACCGTGCAAGGTCACCTACCGAAACAGTTTGTCATCCAGATTAGCGTGGCCATTTTGATCTAACAAAGATTGTGCTTACATCACACTTCCATCTGAGGTGCACTGTATGTTTGGTGGTCCAGATTGCTTAGCCCAATAGTCCTTTGGTGTTACTTTATAACTATCCAGTTTAGGTTTACTATAAAGCAACTGCTGCGGTCTGAAAATTCGTCACTTGGTGAGCTACCTCGCACCGAATCGCCTTATATAACTAATTGACTGACCGGTGGACAGCGTCATACCTGTCCAATTCCGGAATAAACATACTACCGATAGGCCACTTGTAGCTGAATGGCTGTGCTCCTGCGCTAGCTAGCGTTTCGGATCTTCCTAGGGATTCGTGAGGTGCGCCCCCTTAGGGATTTCCGACCACGGTGCCTTTTTGCTCTTGAACATAGTTTGGCCTCTCTTGTAAGGTGAAATTCAGATTCGACTAAAGATTCAAGACGCTGTTGGGTAGTTGGGATTACGGCGAAAGCCGACAAGCAGCTTGCGACACTCGTCACATCGAGTGCCGTAGTCCCTTGAATAAACCTCCTCACGGAAGACCACTTCATTCCGGTCCTGTAAGATTTTCCCCGAAATTGATATCCTTTGAGAGATCACCCCTCCCAACAAAGAGCTCTAAGCGTCCCTGAGAAACAGCTGCCTCTCCAAACAATAACCAAAATGGAAAGTTTTTGGTTTTAATTCTCCTACCTTAAGGCACCAAGTAAACGCATGACTACGCGCGGTACACACGAGTGTGGTTCCAACGTGGTTGGGGTTTCCAAAAATGACTTCCAGATATATTCACCCTAATTGTTTCAGTAATCATTCGAAAGTATCCGCCTCCAAAGACAGGTTATTGCTCTGAAAATCATATACTAGCGCTCTCCATCATCCACGGCTAAGCAGATAGACAACAGTCTAAGGTGTGGAAACGTGACAACATACAACAGAACCTAACATAAGAAACGCGACAAGTCTCGAACACCGGTCGAGTAACATACTTTCTATTTGGATTTCTGGATGTTTTTTTAGGCCAGAGTTTCTCAAACTTTGACGCACAGTGTGCGGCACCATCATTCCTCATTTTATACATAGCCCGTGAACAAATGGTCATCCAAGAGGGGCCCATCGGAATAGAAACCACCCTTCTGGATATTGCGTAACATCACTCTCCGAAAGGCGCGATTTAGTGTGTGACATCTTTCCAGAGATGTTACCTTCTCGAGAATTTCGAATGTTATCCTGCAGATCACGTGTGTTGGCTAATAATGATTCTGCAGAAAGTTTCTAAACTCATACTTGGAATACATCTGCTGATGATTTATTTGCACTTCACGGTGGTTCTCTCCTCGATTTACCAATTTTGAAGTAAGGATTTGGAATTTTAGACTTTTCCATATTCCGGGGTACACGTCAGAAATGAGGAAACTAGCACTGGTTTATAGCTCAATGAACTTGCCAATGTAGGACAGGAATAGTGGAGATGTCTACCTGTACACAGCAGTTAGTGTTAAGTGAGGGCTTGGCTACACATCGGCAGTTGTATTTGACCAATCCGGTGCGGTAGCTCGTTTAGCGTATGGAATTCGTTCGCTCTCAGACACAGCTGTCAACGCGAATCAGGTGTCTTATTGTTGACTGGTTTCTAACACACTGGGTCTTATCAAGGCCTACCCGGGGCGAACAAATTAGCATTAACCTGGGGGAGCACCATTATACATATCGAGCGCTTATCAATAACAACACAAGCCTGTCAGCAATAAACGAATGTAGACCATTTCGGTATGTTTACACACACACTCACACACATACACACACTTAAGTGGTACTATCAACAGACCCATCGCAGGTAGCAAAGATGCACATGAACAGTGTCTTGTATGATAATGCAGTAATACCTATCTTGAAGTTGTAGGACTGCTAATTCAAATGGGGGTGTTGATAAACAAAACTGTCAGTTAACTATCAATGTCCACGGTATAAAACACACATTAGTCCTTCCAAGAGAGGCTTCCCCCAATCAAGATATGCCCCCCTCCTCAGATTGACTGTGAATTTGATACCTCTGTACCTCTCCAACAAGGTGCACTGAGTTCTTACGTATTTTAAACCAAGCCTGGCACAAATGCAGCATTCCTAGCACACACCTGCAGTTTTAGCCTCAGCATCACCTTTCAGACTAGACATTTTGTGGTTACTCTGCTAGTTCCTTGGAGATTTAGATGAGATCAAGTATCGAAGCGGTTCGCCTATGACGAATAGCTGCATGCGGTCTTTAGGGCTGGAGCAACTTTAAACACCTTTTTGCTGTAGGGAGACAAACTCAAGAGACCAATCAGAAATGATCTCTTTTGAAGGTCTGTTTCTCTAGAAAGTAGCCGTACACTCATCTTCCCTCGGGAAGGTCGAAAGTGGTTTCTTCTGAGAGTAACTTTGCTGAAATATGCCTCATGGGTATAATAAATTGGTTTGACGATTGGTCTATACTGGGGATGGTCTTTGCAGTCCCTTGATGACTTCACTCAGAACTTTGTATTGGAGTATCGCTTGATTGTGTCACATCGTAACTGAGTGTCATCGTCTGTCAAGTATTTCACATAACTGTGTAGAACTAACGCAGATCTAGATAGCTTTGACACCATTGTTCCCCCCGCTGAACGTAACATCTCCAGAGATGAGATCGTGCACAACTTCGTACCCAAACGAAAGTCTGATGCAATGCAGTTAGCGACTGTGAAGTTGTGCCTTTTTAACTGACCTTGACTATTACCATTGTGGCGGTGTTTGTGGACGTTGGAAGTGCTTTTTATAAGGCGTTCGTTATATTGCATGCGTTATAAGATAGGGCCGCAATATAAATGCACTAGCCGCAGCGCATCACGGGGTCATTGTCGTGGTCTGAGGTACCTTGTTAGCCTTATGACCGGTAGAGGACGTCCCTCCCCAAGGGAGTGTTGCCTCCTATTCAAGGCCATTTAAGCCGTTCCTCATGTGTGGTCTTTGTTCAGGGATTACCATGTTAAGTTTTTTACTCTTTGGGCTTTGAGCCGTCAGTATTCTCTGTCATTAGTTGAAAAACGCTTCGTTGTTACTCGAGGAGACACCATCAGGCATGCTCAGTCTAATGTTTCAAGCTCGGCAAACTAACACCCAAGTAATGCACTCGAGGTACTTATGTTCTGTAACATTACCATTTGGGATGTAGAGCACTCGACTCGAAAATCCGAAATAACCAGTACAAACGTAAGGACAGTTAAATGAAGCAACCGGACAGCTGAATTTACGGGAAGAGAACTCAGTCGGCCAACTAGAAGGCAAGATGGAACAACTGGTTTAGTCAAAAGTATCCAGACACCTCAATCAAATATCAGCGGGAAAAATGGCCAATGATATGGCCTTACAATTAGTTAAAACACTCTCTGACACAAATCGACCAGTAGGAACACAAGACAGGTTACTCTCAACACACCGACCAATCAATTAACGAGATTACTGACCACGACTGCAAGTCGATCGATCAGATGATTGGGTCCGACCAGCTGATCACAGTACGGCAGTAATCGTCAGTATGAACACGGAGGTTGCTGTCTCTGATAATAATAATGATAATAATAATAGTAATGAGCACGGTTATCATACACCTCGCACTGGTAGTGAGAAGGGGAGCACTATAGCTCATGTTATACGGATGATGTCGCCTTAATTAACGGTGAAATGTTTATACTCCAGTTGGAAATAATTGCAAGGAAGCCGATTACCAAGCACAGCACTCTGGCTACCTGTATTCCGTAGCGTTGCCAACTCCTCTATCCGACCGGTATCCACCGTGCCTCTGGTTAGCCTAGAAACGCAGTTTGCAACTTTTTCTCATAATATTATGTGTGTTCTGGAAAGTCCCAAACTCTCGCCTATCGTTTCGTCGAAATCGTGTCTATAGGCATGGACTAACTCACTTGGTTTACTAAATGTTGTTGATCGGAGCCAAACTGACTTGAGCTATACTCCCTTTGATACATGTAATCGGTTTCTGTTTTGTCCGTACTCGGGCGTTATCGTATGAATTCGGACGGGCTGGCGGGAAAATGATGCAGTGAGTGCTTTCTTCTGGTCGTTTCTTCAAAAACACATTTTGTCATCTCCGTATGCTAACGGTTCTCTCACATCTGTTTTTTACTGTTACAGGAATCGCCTACTCGTGGGGAATGGGCAGTAACAAGCAATTAGGTCACGGAGATGACGACGATGAGGACTGCTACGAACCGGGAGTTATCAAAGGCAAACAATTGGAAAACAGGTGAATACACTGTGATTTTGCGCTAAAGGGGCTCTTCCTCGTTTGTTACACGTTCTTGTTTCTCTGGTGAACTTATTGCCGACAGTCATGTGATATTCTTATGATGCCTTTTTTAGCATTCCTCCCAACAAGTGGGAACATTTTCATCACAATTGTAATCATCAACAGTGATATGTGTCAACAGTGATGCTTAAATTCCCTACGGGCATGTCAGTTCACTAACTTATCGCTTTCAATCGTAGGAGAGCTCTTTGTTTTATATTTCCCGACAAGTGACCGAGCAAGGAATGTTCATACTGAATAGCTACTCGACTTGACTCCATGAGGAGCAGTTTTGTCTCATATTTCGTCCATCGGTAGTCCATCGCACCTTTAATTCGGGTTCAGTCGGGCAACTCCGGAAACAGATGCTAACATAGTGTGCAATGGGCAGAGGTGAACGGTGGTCGTTGGCTTGTTCGCTGAGCTGGGCAATTTGATTGCAATTTGATTGCGGTGGGTTGGTGGTTGTGCCAGCACAATATATATATATATATATATATATATATATAAAATATCAATTTCAGGTAGCCCCAGGCCAACCGATGTCAGTGGCGTTCTTGTTGTCTGGAGGTCTAGGCACCTCGGAATGACTGTGGCAAGCTAGCGCTAAGTCCCTTCTACGTCCACCTTTATTCTTTTCTTTACAATAAGGCTTTCAAATAAATCATAATTGTACGGCAATGAAGCATCGATGTTGAACGCTGATGTCATGCTGATGATGACATTCAGGATCTCACGGCAACGCGGATCCGGTAACTTACCGGCTGTTCTTGGTTCCCTCTATTCCGCCTTGTGAACCCTGTGGTTAAAAACCTGAGATAAAGTTCTCATTCCCTTCAGCCAATTTCACTATTCTAGAGAAATCAATCGAGGTAACCTCACCAATGCAGCCACGGGCATAGGTGGAAAACACGTGACAGTGCCGTCTGTGCCCATCCCGTGAACACGCATTCCGATTGTCTTGGATTGGGACATTACTGTCCCCAATGTTGTATCTGCATCCTCACCACACTGACTGGCGACATTTATCCCATCAATGTGCGTGCTACCTCTGGCTCACAGTCCTAGTCACATCACATCCCGCCTCTTTGCGATTTCCATATAATAATCTGACCTTGCCTTTGTTCTAATCCATCTTTTGTCGCTTGCGAATTCAATGGTCAATTCCCATAATTCCGGCTCTTGTCACACTATCTCTTGTGATACTTAACCGTGCAGTTCATTCTAGTCTTAGCTACTTACAGTCCATTACCAATAGAAGCAGCCCGTCGTAATTGCACAGTCAAGCTGGCAAATTAAGGTTTATCTACCTCTACACGTAACATTCCGTCTACTTTTATTACTTTCTTCAGAGTAAGGCCTTCAAGTAACTAATGGTTGTACGACAACGAAGCATCAGTGTTGACCACTGGTGTTATGCTGTCGATGATGATGATGACTCGCTACTGATTATTCGATTACCCTATACATGTCTCTCCTCCACAGGTTCGTCTCTATTATTGACGCAGGTGGTCAACACACTGTCCTTCTTGCCCATTCTTCACTACCTTCAAATGGTATGCCTCTAGCCAACGCAACTTCCCTGTCGAATGATATTAACAGTGGAAATGGATACGACCTGTCTAATGAAGCATCATACATGTCCAGTGCCTTGAAGAATCCCTCGTCTGAAAACATCAGTAGCAACACAACTATTCCGCATCCAGCATCTGATAATAAATTTGCGGATTTGTCTGGTATAGCTCCGGTGTTAGCACCAGCACATCCAAGGCGAAATCGTCATCTCAGTCCCTCCTCCGTAACGGGCTATGCTCCCGTCACGTTCCTGGGCCGGGGAGCGGATAGCACCACATGTAGTACTGCGGGTGCGACAATAAACAGCAGCGTCCACAGTTCGGCAGTGTCGGACACAAGTTCTGTTGGTTCATGTGCTTCAAACACCAGTACAAGTAGTCAGCTGAACAGTGCAAAGAGTACAGACGGCGGTGGAAGTAGCCGTTGCAGTTCCTTCGGCACTTATAGTATACAGAGCAGTCTGCCCGTGGGCCCGCCGGCGGAGGACGTCCCAGGAGTGTCGGCAAACAGTGGTTCTTTGATGTTGGATCCTCTAAGCGCCTCGCTGCTAGCCACCTCAAGGACCCTAACGCAGACAAACAGAGCTAGTGCTGCCGGGTGTCGGTCCACTCAGATTCGTTCAGCTGGGATGAGTATTTGCAGTACTAGCAGTGAAGCAGGCATACTAACGGACACCATATCTTTGGGTTCCATGACTGCTTCACCAGCCGACTTGATTAGCGGAGAGCAATCTAGCAGCTGAAAACGTTAAACGCTCAAGTAACAGGAAAGCGCACACGGATGGAATGTTTCTTATCATCTTAACCTTTACAGTCACCCGTTCCAACACCAGCTGTGAATGCCCTTTCCTTAGTCCAGTTTGTGCGTGACCCAATGAGTGACCCCTCTGATCTATTTCTGTTCGTCTGCGAATGTGATTCGGTGCGAATCATCCTAACTTGTGTGCGTTCTCAGCGGTGAAACTCCCCGTTGTACACATTGACCCTCTAAGCCCGTCTCTCGGCACAAGAGCCGGAATCCTGAAAATGAACCCTAATCGCTGCTGACCCTTTGTCATCCTTTCCTTTCTGTCGTTTCCAGGGATGAATGTACCAGTTTATTCCCATGTGTCTATTTTCAATTTGATATGCATACCTAACATGCCTGTCGACAGAAACCACTCTTTTTCATCGTGGAAGACATCTGCCAGGAGTTTTCTTGCCGTTTAGTCTCCATAACAGTTCACATGTCAAAAATTCACAACTGTGTATATGAGACTCGAATTTTTGCACTACAATATGAACTGGCGTCGATTATCTCCTGAAAAACAATTTCACCATACTGAGCCATACCAACGTTCTCCTGTCTAGAAAAAAAATGCAGCTTATGAGATAGAGGTGCGGGTGTCACTTGTCTACCAACACGTACAAATTCATGCATACTCTCCAAGCTGGTGATTTCTCTGACTCTGATTACCTGGCCAAATTAACTGATGTAGCTTAGCCGTTCGCACGCATTCAAATACTTCGCGATTTAGCTATTTACTGTATTCACACAATCAGAAAGGTTGGGCACGACTCTTTCGAAGGCTTTGTGGGTTTCTACCTCGTAACTGGTGTACATGCTGTGCAGTTGAGTTGCACTCGATTGCGACTGATGAGCGGTGCGTGTGGGAACCCAACAAGTCCCGCGATTGACGTGAGATGCACATGTATGAATAGACTACCACGGAAGGGGTTAACACAGACAGCTTATCCTTGTTATTCGAAACGATTGGCAGGTAGCTCGCATTGAAGGTATTTTTAGATGTATTGTCCAGTCTCCATACTAATAAGCCAGTCTCCTTTAGGATGTAAGCTAAAGAACATTTTTCTCTGCTGCTTAAGCAGATTTTTCGAGTTCTCGAAGCAAAGTACTCAACGTTTTCGCTTCTGTAGAGCAAACCTAATTCACATATTGATCCGTCTGATAGGCAACTAAGTTGTACGTCCGGAAGAGACTTCCCCGTTCCTCTTCTCCGCAGTACAACGCACCTGAAAATCAGCACGACTAAGTCTAGCAAGTGGTTCAAGTCAGTGTTCTTGTTATTCTCACTATTTCGATGTTTTGTATACCCTCGAAGGTCAGGGCAACAATAATCAACTATTATTTACCTTGAATACTAACCAAAAGCCCGGAACGCTCGATCACCTAAATTCGTGTCAGACACTCGTGAAGTTATACATACTACACTTCAATTCCTGATGATGGCGCTTGAAGTTGAGTGGCGCAGGTAAATTTGTTATACGTGAGAATTTCCCGATGCCAGTTTGAACTTCAATGTGGCAGACGGATCATTAGTGAATCCTAGGGCAATCGTAACTGGGAGCGAATGTTTCTGGCCTAAGTGTTTCTGTTGGCAGCGTGAAAAATTCGCGGGAACTTCAAATCACAGGTAATTCGTTTGTCTAGATACAGCGATTCTGATCAGTATTCCAAATGTGATTTTCCCTTTTGCAGACAACGAGGCGAGTAGGTTGCAGACTATAGCGAAAGGACAACCCAATCAAAACACTTGTTTACAACATTTTTCTTTTAGAAAGTGAAAATTCCGGGGCTATTTTAAGGAGTAGTACTGTTTTACTGTCGCAATGATTTCGAAGCAGTCCCAACACTGACGGAAGGTAGAAAATCTTATAGGGAGCTGACCAGGCACGCTTGTGAGGGGACGTTGGTGCGAACTGTTATCGTCTGATTGCAGGTTTCATCTTTGCAGAGGATATTACGTGATTTCCCGTGGGTGTATGATTCATTTAACCTCAAATACAGGGATATTTGATGCTGCCATACCAGGCCGCTCAATCCGTCCAATTTTTAATGTAGGATTCAAATATCCTTTTCCATAGATCAAGAATGCTGAAAGAACATTGTACTCAGAGAATAAAGCAACTCAAAAACTTGGTTGATGTGTTAGCAGGATAGATGAAGTCATCTGTAACTCTTGTGATGTTGGGATTTCGTCTTCGGACTTTCGGTTGCGAACGTTAGCACCTGCGGTAGCGAACGCTCTGCGGAAAGCATCCACAATCAAGTTTAGCTCCATCACTTTGTTCCGGTTTCGCTGGTGACCCTCCCTTTTCCATATGTCGTCCATAAGTTCTTTGTACCAGTCTCTGGCCTGCTTGCCAATGCTGTCCGCCAGATTGTCTATCTGAAGCAAGTGGGCATCGTGGCTAGCTTGGAGGGCATTGGTCACCGTACTTTTGTCGATGAACATCTGTAAAAGACAGCGGTTTTTTGAAAAGAATTAATCCAACCAATGTGATGAAAATTTTAGCGATAATGACTTGAAGGAAATCGAAGAAAAGTCGTTCAGCTGTAAGCCCCTTTCGGTACCTGGCTGCCACGCTACCCGAAGGAAGCACGAGAGCTGAAATACTGCGGGATTGTCAAAGCCAGTTTAAGATCACTGGTAGTGTTCCATTCCTTACACAGAGTTAACTACGGATCCTTGTGGGACGAGTGACCTCACTCGAACGTTCAGTTAATCACAATCATAACAAGCATGGGTGTTGTGTCAGTGTTATTGCGCATGCAGCGTCGAGTCCTCTGTGTTCACCTCATTGAAGTGACAGGACAAAAGGTATTCCCCTTGTCTATATTTTAAATTACTTCCACCAAACGGCCTATAGTAATGGCTAGAAGACGATATAACAGCGAGCATCGAACATCACACCGAGTCTTACGACAGTTGTTATGGGGTCGGTAGTTTTTGTACGCACAGTGGTGGTTGTCGCGTTCTAACTAAAACGAGTTGAGGATTCGCATGTGAGTCGGGTCAACTATCTGATCCTTTTCAGAGTTGTGTTGCACATTCCAAAGCCACTTCTCCCACAGCCACATACTACTGATACTGAACTGTCAGCATTGTGGGTCTGAACGTGATTCCTCTGATTGTGGGGATTCTTCTTAACAGGACATCCTGGAATGTTCGGTTCACAGTTTGTTCTGCGTAGGTCTCGTTGTGGTTGGCCGTAAAAAGTAGGCATATAAGGATTTCTTTGATGGGATTTTGGCATCCCCAAGAACACAGCCTAGTTGGTCGAATGTGCACATTGCTTACGTTGTGAAAAAGGATCTTTACCAAGCATCGATTATACACAATAGGCGAGGCCAATGTTTAATTGCGGCCTTACAGCAAACTGTACATTGTGAGGGTCCACTCGAATATCGAGTGGCCATCTGGGATAGCTGGACTTCTGTTTTCATGAGGCATTGACATACTGCGGTGAATGCTATCCGTAATATCGGAATATTAGGCTAGGTTACAAGTAGAGCTCAGTATCATACACGTATGGTTGCAGAGTTGGTTCTTGATCTTCACCGGGAAATTTCTTAGTTTGAACTTAATGAGAGCTACCCTGTAACGACACTGTCAGTTTGTCGTAAACAGTTCCTTTATAATCTAAACACATTTCCTGTATACGGAGCAGTCTTGTAAATTGGTACATCCAGTGAAACATTGTTCAGTAATGTGGTCACAAAGGTATTCAACTGTTTTCCCTAGCGAGATGTTATTGAATACAATGGAAAACAATTTTTGGGAAAGTGACACTGAGCACTCAAGTGTCTGACAAAATTCACAGGGTTCTTTTGAATTGTGTGTGGGTTAAAACTTCCAAACGGGAACGATAAAACCAACCAGCTAACAATTAAGACAACGGTAGGATGAATATTGCATGTGTAGAACTGACTTCAACGGTACATTTGGTTTGTGGTTTTTCGGTCAATTCCTGATTCATGATGTTGGGCCTCCAGTTGGTTTTAGACTCAAACACAACTCATTGCTGTTTAGACGACTCTAAGTTCACCAGTTAGGACTAAGAGCACTCCAAACTGTACGAGACACTTCGAAGCCTATCCTCAACCTCGCATTTCCAAATGCTCTCCGTAACCAGAAGAAGGTCTTAGACTTAAGTTCGAGTTGATCACACTGCGAATCACCTGTTTGTGGCTGAACGATCGAGCGTTCAGACTACTAGCCAGGAGGTCGTGGGGTTCTAAATCCCCAGGAGGTTTGTGGGATGCGCCCTGCTGATGATTTCCAGTATGAATGAAACAGCTGTACAATGCTCCTCGGGTTTTCATCATAAATCATCCTCACTGACAAAATACCTGCACATATCACTCACAGTCACAAAGAACCACTGATGAGTAGAACAGATCGATACTTCTCTCAATAAGTCTAAGAATTTCTCCAAAAAGTCAGTATGGATGACAGGTTACTGCCTAGCATCAATGACACGTAGCTGGAGGATGAGAAGTTATGGATTGCGTGGCACATCTCTGGAACAGGTCACACAGTTGACCCGCCTCAAGCCATCGAGACTCCCGTGCATCCTCGCCTTGAAAACGCTCGAATTAGAGCACGACAACCAGCAATGTTTGCACAAAATTACTGATCCAAGTCGTTCGCTTACCTCGGAACTGAACCCGCCCAGACCTGCCACTTTTTAAATGCCTTTTGCAAAATACTGTAGACTTTTACATTTTTGACTTGTGAAAGCATTTCAAAATATCAGCACATCGGATTCTCTTTGGGGAATTTACGAGTCCCGTTGAAAGTGATCTGTTCAGATGTGGTCTCTGTATCACGCCTTCTGTGCGTGGTAATATTTGTCATTTTGGTGCTTTCTATCCCACAGGCTAACCCGAATGAAGCTGTGCTAATCATCTTGTCGCTGGGGGCGTCATACAGCGTATCTAATTATTGGTGAAGGCTACACGCCGAACACCGACGGTCAAGTGCTTGTATTTCTTGTTTCGATTGTGATTTCTTGACATCGATTTGTACGTTCATTTGTCCACTATCTTTGTGACCTACAGGGGTTGAAAAGGGTGTATGAACAAGCCTTTTGTTAGCCCTGTCCAGATCCGGAGGCTGTCTTGTCATTTGTAACTCAATAGGGGGGGGGGGGGGGGCGCGGTCATCAGGAGTCCGCTCAAACTTGATGAAAAGCTAGACAATGTCATGAATGGAATACCGGAACCTGGAAGGAGCAGAGAGTACAATGCATATAGAAGGAATAATACGATACATCATAAGTCTGGTTCAATCAAAGACTTGCGTGTGGTATTCCTTACCTTAGTTACGGAGACCAGCCTTTCCTAATAACCGAAAATTATATCGTTTGGATGAAGGTGTCACGTGCAGGACGGGCCAAACGAAGGCGTGCCCTGATTGGTCAGAATGCCAGCCAATCCGAGTCAAGCACCTTTGACTTGACGCTTCTCGCCCCCTCACGGAGATTCTGACACGACCTTGTGGAACATTGTGACTACTCTATAAATACAGTTGTAATAATTTTCCTTTGTCCCCATAAAGGGCTGTGTAGAGCTACCGTGCCTTTTGATATACCGTAGTGGATGGAGCAGGAAACCAAGGGGCCGATACAGAGTTGCACGGATCGTCTACCAAGTTACAACAGTCAACGTCGGTGAATCGCTTCTTCTAAAACGGGGAGGCCTAGCTTTCGCATTGTGTTCACTGTAAGTTGCAAAGGGATTAAGTGCATTCTCGACACAGTCCAGTAGTACCCGCAGATTGTTTATGGTGCTTCACCTAAACGATGGGGAGGATACCCGAGTCAACTGAACCCGCATGCTAGTCAAGTCGGTAAAAGCCCCACTACCGTGGAGCGGCATGATTCTGTCAGGTTCGTAGGCCATAGCTTTCCAGTTTGGTTTCCATCGTATGCGACAGATGCGCTTAGGCCGAAATAGGGTGAAGGAGTTTGGTACGCTTTCGTTGAACCGGAAAAACTGTTATAAAAACCGCCTTTTTGTTTTTGTGTGCGACGCAATGCGAGTAACAGTCCTACGGCTGCTCGCTTCTCCCCATTAGGCTTCTTCAGCAAATGAGTATAAAGCTATCTAAGTCAAGTCAAGACGTTCCAGCAATTTTCGTGCCTAGCCTGTCTCAGGATGACTCGATGGGGATCATAGTGCTTCCACAAAAACATAAGGATAGGTGGATGTAAAGTTAAGGTATTTCAGAGGATTTTCTCTAGATGGCATAAACCTCCGAAGCGTTGCACGCCCCTTAGGACGTCTTATAGAGTCATCTATCAAGGCAATTTAGGTTTGCTGTATGGTTCTTTTGTATCCTAGCAACGCGGTTCGCAAGGACTTCGGCCGTACAAATGAAATTTTTGTTGTGACAGAGAAACGATTATCATCAGAAAATTCATGTGCCTTGGATGGAGTGCAAAAACGGCGTAGGTCGTTGCTGGGGATGCACAAATTACCAAGACACTTACCGTGATTAGTTGGTCTGAAACATTTGGCGTATAGTCTCCGCGCAGGAATCGATCCAAAACCAGTGAGGTGAGATCGGTGAGCTTCTCGTTGAACTGAGCTTGTTGTTCTCGACATTCCACAAAATGTTCCTTAAATAGAATAATAAGGAAATGTCCCACACGAGTTCATTTGGATCGAACTCTTCCTAAAGATCACCTTCATAGAACAATATAAAAGATGTATTAGTATGCTCCCCTGTCCTGTACTACATGGTCTGGTTTGAGTACATTTTATTACAAACAATTCGTTGGTCAAAATCCTATCGAACATTGTAATACCTAATCTCCGGGAAGTATTCGTATGGGCGAGACCCCCATAAATCACTTACGTTATTGAACTAGTCCGATAAGACACGGAACCGCTCAAGGAGTCATCCATTGGAAGTAGAGTCCAATCAGTCCTGATAAAACAGTTTTTTTTTCAAATTTTTCCCCAATGGCACTCACTGAGAAGAGACAACAGGATCGAGCAAGTGGGTCTTCGGGTTACAGTTTCCGCGGTTGATTACAGTCACCCATATCCCGACTTGCCTCCATTCTTTTACCAATAAAAGTTCGACGCTAACATGAGTTCCCCGCTTAGAATGGATCTAAACTGTGCACGTGGTTTAGCATAATGGTACCCAGTAATTTTTCAACCATTCAAGCCAAGTATGATAGTTCATTCCAGTCCCTTCCCCGTCCACCTTTATTCTTTTCTTTAGAATAAGACTTTCAACTAAATAATGGTTGTACGGCAGTGAAGCATCGGTGTTCAACACTGATGTCATGTTGTCGATGATGATGATGGTGACGACGACGATGATGATGATGGTGATTGTAGAATTTGTCAATAGCAAGCAAACCAGAGAAAAGTGGCGGAGTACGCTGGGTGTTAACAGGAGAATCGAGTCAGTATCCTCACGATTTCCTACAATTGGAGGTGCCGCCTCATACTTCACTTGGTAAGATATTCAAAGTTAGTTTCTTGATGTCACGCACTGCCTGTGAGATATTCGAAAAATTCAACTCTACACTACCGATTTCTCTCTTCTTAGGACTTATTAGCCAGAGAGAGAGAGTCTACACCTTCCATCAACATTATGTACTACTTAGATACCAGATTGCAGGCATGTGGCGAGATGCACACGTTTTCGAAAGTGGTTTCTTACAGGTAGGGACGTGTTCTGTCCAGGAGCAGCGTAAAACGCTACCAGATACATAATGATGTCAAAAATTATGGTTATTTTTATGAAATTCCAGAATTCTTTTAGTTTGCTGTTATTTAGGTGGGCCAATTATTAAATGATCTGTTTTTAGGCATGGGAACAATCACAAAGACATGATTTTCAGGCAGATTCCTGAGGATATTGATTCCTCGGTCTGATGTTTCTAAGAACGACTTATGCCCGCTTGGGAATATACCGGTGGGTGACAGAATGCTTGAGCTCATTGTCATCTCGCGTTAAACTTTTGACCACGGAATATTGATTGGCTATTCGACGATATGTGCCGTGTGTGAGGCGATAGCCAGAAAAACGATGATATTTGCTATAGCTTTGCAGTTACTGCTCCCTGGAGTGTTCAACCACGGGAAATCACCCCCGTATCAGAAGTTTTCCACCTGGTACCTTGAGCACCCAAAAATAGACTGATCTTCCTCTGATTTGCAAAACAACACCAAGCTCACTAAGGTTACACATGCCATGGGTAAAGCATGTATAGAACTTCCATCTGAAATGATTGTACGGCAGTCATCAGCTTAGTTAGTTACGATGGTTCGAAGTTAGCACAAATTAAATCGTTTACTTGTGATTATTTTCCTTCCACAACCGGGTCGATTTGCGTAAACAGAGTACAAGTTGTCCGAACTTACGTGTCGATCGAAAGGTCAAGGTTGGGTTGGAACTACAACTTACCGATTAGGAGTATGCGTCTCGGTCTCTGAGCTATCTTGTGTCCAGTAACCTGAACCGTGACTTGCTCGCTCTACGGATACAGACACAAATTTACCGAATTTGTTGGTCGTTTTACCGCACTTCCGTTTGAAAAAAAAACAATCCCCACTTGCGTTCACTGTATTGAGGAGCGCGTGGCTTACCTCAACGTGTTCGATGAACGAATCGATCATATCCTTCATGTTCAACTCAAAGTCCTTGATAAGCTCGTCAAGCTGCTCGACTAGAATGAATTCGTTGTGCATCAGTGCATATTGCAGAGCATTGACCCGCTGATTATAATCCTTCATCTTCTCCTCGAGTGCCACTTCATCGCTCAAGGTTTCTAGTTCTTGAAGAGTCTGGAAATGTGACATGAAGAAAGTCTCCACAAGTGTTTTGCGTGGTCAGTATCCAGGTAACTTGAAACAAATGGCAATTCAAAGCAAGGTGAACAAAGTTTACGAAGAATTAGTGACTACAAGGGTTTCACAAAGGATCTTGGTATCTTGGTTCTGGTGGCATAGTAAGGCTACTGTTTTATTGATGTCTAATGTGAACTATGATGAGTTATTAGGAACAAGCTACTCCATGCAGTCCGGATTCCCATGTGCAAGGAAACACCTTAACTTGTCCATGTTCGGCTCAGTTCATGTCTTAACCATGAAGCGTGCGCGCGTATCAGTAAACGGCGTTGAAATCTACTACGTAGGTTGCGTGATCTAGCATTCCGAATGTTCTACCCAGTTACCCAGTGAACTTAGAGCGTACGCTATCCCCCATTAAAGGGATGGTGTGGAATAGACCTCACACGCCATAGTTCATCTTCATTTTAACACCGTCGTTCTTTGTTCTGATGCAAGAGTTCACGGTATGCTGTAGAGGTACAGTGATAACAACCAAGCTGTTTTTACTGGCAAGTACTCGGAATACGAAATGTATCCATGGTTGAACGAAGTCCCAGCTTGCAACACCAGTTACGCCAATCAGAAATGGGATGAAACATGTAAGTTAAAACGCATTGATGAACAAAAAACAACGCACAAAAATACACGTACTTGTTTGTGAAGGCGTCACAAGAGAAGCTACTCTGTTGTGGCCTGTCGCAAAAGAGCAGTTTAGAAATGAATTCCTAGCTAGTTACGGGGCGAGCTTGTTCGATCACTTTGGTGTATGCGCAGGAGCACAATGACAGATATGTTATTGTTTTGTTGTTCGTGGTGGCGCTGCTACGATTGCTGACAGTGGTAATGATGGCAATAGTGATTGTGAGGAGATCGAACAAGATGAGAACTTTCATAAAGGAAACTACTCACAAGGTTGCTGAAAACTCTTCGACAGCCCAAGACCGGTTTCGCCCTTCTTGGGTTTCATCAGGTAGGCACAGTCCCCGAGTTTCCGTCAACCGTATGTTCTACTTGAACCCAAATTGGACTATTTTCGAGAAATACACTCATTTACAAATCAATCTGGTTTTCACGAGAGACTCAACTGAATCTCTCGTTTATGATATTCTACAACTGAATGTTCTGCACACAGGCCGGCCTCACGGTTCAGTTGGCACGATATTTGAGATATCGCAGTATATTTTCATAAAGGAAACTACTCACAAGGTTGCTAAATACTCTCCGACAGCCCAAGACCGGTTTCACCCTTCTTGGGGCTCATCAGGTAGGCGCAGTCCCCGAGTTTTCGTCAACCTTATGTTCTACTTGAACCTGCTTTTCGGTGAAGTGACCGCTATATAGCATGGTTTCAGCAGGTGAAATACGGTATTCACATCCCACCGGTACCATGTGCAAAATGAGAATGAACAACAGGGTTGAAAAGAAACACTCGAGTTCGCTTTATGCAAACTGAGAATGTTCCTGTACACGGAGCAAAATGGTCGGACTGCTGAGTAGCCTGAATTGCAAACAAAAAAAATACAGAATAAGAATATGCAAAATACAAAGGCACACGCTGATGGGACCTGTAGGAAATTTCCAATCCGGTCAGATGGTCTCAAAGAGCGCGTTCTCAATCGATTTAGTTTTTTTTGTGGAGCTATCTAATGTTGACTGGCGTCCGATATGGAATAGCCTGTCAACTGTGGTTGGATCGCTTCATGTCTGCACAATTAGCATAAAACGGAAGTTTTGCATGGAGTTGGATACACCGCTAAGGGCCTGAGTTGGAAGGAATATGGTTGGCGAATAAGCACGCAGAGATTTGTTGTGACCTATCAGCAAGCCTGACAGTGTCACAATCAGCAACAACACCAGAATAAACAATGAAGTACGTGATAGGCGGCAACATAAATAGTTGGGAAACCCTGGGCAAACGTCCAACGTAATTGTCTGAGGTTAATGGCTGTTTTGTAGGACCAACTGTCTGCGACCTGTACAGGCCATCATCATTAGGAGAACGTTCCTTTCGTTCGTCAAGATCATTCCTTAGATGAAGCTATGATTGAACAGTTTGAAGTGCGACTGAGGTTGAAGTGCACAGGAACCTAGTACTAAGCTTCGATTTTTGATGGTGAGACATGTCTAACATAGCTCCCTTGTTTTATATCCCTCTGGAGCCAAATAAAATGATAAAGTCGTTGGGTCACACGAAGGGAACTTACCTCTTTTTGATATAGTCTGAAGTCATCAAGTAACTTCGTTCCTTTCTCGTAGTTCTCCTTTTTTGTAAGGTTCAAAGCGGACCAAAAGTCGGCCAGTTCTTTGTCTCGCTTTTCCAGTTCATTCAATCCCAACTCGAACACACCCTTGCATTCCTTTGTGAATGCCTCTGAGAAAGTATTCGAGCCTTAGGGTTAAGGCACTTCGCATTGGTTCGTTGAATGGAACATTCGGGGGACACCAACGCACTCGAAATTTTCCGGAACTAATACTGACCGACATTCTATCTTGCCTCACATACTTGAACACAAACAACTCCCTTTGGCTATCCAGGTTGGGAATATCAGAAAGGTTTTTGATATTCATGCTATTATGGTAGTAGTCCTCTGTAACATGAAATCAGTCATTGATATAAACCTTGCACACAGTAATGCATGTTTCTGTGTCCTTCCTGCTCTTATCCACTTAGTCATGCACCGCACTTTCCCGTCTGTATACTCCCCTCATAAGTCATTTCAGTCTGTTTATTTGAGACTTAACGCCAATTTCATCATGAAGTGATGGTTTTGGCAATGAAGGCCACCACTGGTTTTCAGGATACGAAAACGGAATGTCACTAGTAATTTTCCGTCAAGGTAGTTTCGACCCAGTAAATAAAACCAAAACGAAAGAATAATTTGTAGGCAAAACAGCACAAAAATAGTAAACTACTGAAATAGTCGAGAATCTTAGTCAAACAGACTTAGTTTTTCGGATGAATACTGAGCTCGCTAATTCACGGTTAACTTGGTAGCCGGTGAATTGGCAGTTATCTACTGATTTAGTTGGTAAATATATACGTCATACGTTTTTTCTGTTATTTCCTTAGGTATTCATTTATTTTTGCAATAAGTTGGCTGGGTAGCTGGCCAGTAAAAGAAACTAACTATTTATTTATTCACGTGCTCATTTATCTTACTCGTTGAGTGCCTAGTTCCTTATTGGTTGATCAACCACTTAGTTGTTTGTTTCGTTGTTTAGTTAGTTGATACGAGTTCATCCGGGTTTTGAATTTTTTGACAAGTCGCTGAATGCATTCTTGAGCGGGTGAATAAGTGCGCGAGTGAATGAATTTCACCTTTTTCTAATTATTAGGTCATCCTCTAAGGTGTTCAGTTACTTAAGTAATTGAGAACTAGATTTGTAAATTGATCGGGATTTTGACAAGTGATTTGTTTTTCTGCGCGATTGTTTGTTGATTCTTTCGTTATTTGAATGTGATCTACCGATTGGTTGCTTGGCAGTTAGTTTTGACTAATTATTTTCAAATGAGTAGGCTGCTGACCAAATACAAGTAAAATGTTGACAAAAAGGATATGCTTTTATGCTGTGCCCAAATTCTGAAATTTGTAGCATCTCCTTTCCTTCGGGGTCATCTTGGAACAGAACTTCAAATATTCTGTCATTATCCAGACCGGTAACAAAAGCCCTTCGGTGCATCGCCTTTTGGGAATCCATTTCCATTTTCTGTTTCTCCAATTCCTGTTCATTCATTTCTTTGGCCGTAAGCTCATCTACGAGCAGCTGGTGCGTTTGATAGGCTTGTTCCTTCTAAAAAGCCGCTTGTGCTTGAAAAAAACGCCTGTTCCTCTAAAAAGCCGCTTGTGCTTGAAAAAAACACTCACAAGTTTTTCATCTATACGTTTATAATCCAGAAAGACTAGCTTCGGGAGAAACGCGTTCACAACCAATAGGTACCCTTCCTCATCACATAATGGGTTGCCATGTAGACAAAGAGATCTCAGTGCTGGAAATTTCCTAAGATAAATCAGCTGTTGAAGCTTTCAGAATTGAGATAAACTACCTACATCTTCAGTATCCGTCAGTTTGTTCCGTCCTATCGATAAAACCTCCAACTTCCGCAAAGTGTCCAAATTCTCCAGACTTTGAATTCGATTGCTGTATAAACTCAGATCTTCCAGATTCACCAGTTTCTCCAGCCCAGTTATGGCTTTGATGTTGTTGAATGACAGATCTGAATGTATTATTCTGACGTATGTTATCTTCACAGTTACCAAGCCATCTCAAGTGAACGAGATGATCTATTCCTTCAATCTTTTCAATAATATTGTTATCTAACTGTAGTTTGACGAGTTTGTCGAATCTCCACAGATGATCAATTTTTAAGATATCTAAAACCACTTTTATGGCATTGTTGACAGGCATACTGCGGTAATCCAATCTTAATGTAGAAACGTTGGAAAAATCGATACCGTCTTGTCTAAGAAGGGTTCCCGGATAGCCTTCAAATCCTTGAGAATATATGGCTTCCTCCAACATCGTTTTATTTATCACAGCGGGTTCAATATTGCCATAAAGGCGTGCCATTTGAGGGGTTTCTCTGAAAGTAGAAATTGTGATCAGCGTGTAGTAGTCAGAAAGGATGTCGCGTGGTGTACAAACTGGTGGCCATTTTTTGCGTTTTGGTATCCGGTTAATGTGTGTGTAATAATACAAACTGACTCTTGACGCCTTGCCACAAAAAGCTCGTAGAGGGACAAAATAAACGTGAATTGTTACTTCAACTTTTGGGTTTGAGTGAAGTCACTTCGATTTGTCCGTAGTTTCAGACCTTATCCGTCATCGTTGTCATCAAAGGCAGCATTTTACTGCCAACACTTACGCTTCAGCTCCCTAAAACCAAGAGGCTAATTTTTAAATAGTTTAAAGGGAAAAGAGAAAAGCCGACGAGGAAGCGGTATGGACCCTGGTTTTCACAATCACTCTGAGGTGTTTACATCTCCAGACCATAAGCTGGACAATATCTGTGGAGACTTACAAGAAAAACACTACACAAAAGTGACTGCCTCTGAAAATCAAAGGCTTCTAATAAAATTTCCGGGACAAAAGTACTTAAATTTTAAGATTCGTCTCTGATTCCAAGGAAAGTCCAGGTGATCAGAGAACAACCTGTAGATAAGTGTCATCCGAGGTCATCAGAGTCACCATCACCCTCGTCATTATTGTCGTAATCACTGGCGAAATCCCTGTACCGAACAACGTTCTCAAATGTCAACTATGACACCTCAGTATCACAAAATGTTCATTTGGAGAATTAACTCTGATTAAAACCGCAGTTTATTTACCAGGCGAAAAGTATTGAAATTTAGTAGTCATTTTTTAAATTTACAAATATCAGTACTGTTGACCCAGTGTAAGGCCTTCTCTCAGTAGCTCACCTCATTGATTTACGTTGGTCATCTTGTCCGTGAAGTAGTCCAAGAATCTTTGAATGAAGAACTCGTATAATGAAATGTACCTTGTTCTGGCATAATTTTAAGATATTTTTTCTGTTAGAGTTAGAGCATTAGATATACCTCTTACCTCTGGTAGGATACCACACAAAGTAATTATGGGTTGTTTGTGCACCGACTGCAACTACGTCACAAACTTCGTCATCGTCAACCATTCAGCATTCAAGCTAAGTTGATACCGTGGGCCACTAGGCAGATAGAAGTCTGCCTAATTCAGCCATTGTTGTCTACTGCAAGTAAAATCTTCAGCAACACTCTAAACCATGCAAGAAAAGCTACTTATTTTACACCCCTGTATTAATTACTCATGAAATATGTTAATATCAATTCTGAAAGGGTTGACTGCCCGATGATCTTGCCTCTGTATGGAGTTATTAGGTCCATCGAGCTACTACGAAAAAATAGCAAATGATACTCAGCCAGCACTGATAAAACGTGTGTAATAGTCCGTACGGGTTTTTCAGTAGTTTCTTTAATTTCTACACAATTTGCATTGTAAATAAAAAAAGTCTCCCTAAACTGGGGTGGCAAGCATCAAGTTGAAGTATATCATGAAACATCTTGGATCAAGAACGGATCTATTTGGACCTCCTCGGTAGTTTGACGCTAATGTGAGCACACCGTTTTTTCCTGTGTAGCGAACTTCTCGATCGGCAAACAGTAAAATCTAGCTTTGTATCATTTTACTTAATTCTGCCTTGTTAAATGCCTAATGTAACCGAAGATAATTCGTGCGATAAAGTATGAGTTGAACGCTTCACAGATTTTTTGTCAATGTTCTCTGAACCATTTCCTTGTTCTTTGCGCTACCGAGAGGACTTTTTACTCAGCCAGTAAACACAAGTTAAGCCTAACATGGCACGCTTCTGAAGTAACCGTAAAGTATGATTTGAACGTTCCACAGATTTTTTGTCAATGTTCTCTGGACCATTTCCTTGTTCCTTGCGCTACCGAGACGACTTTTTACTCAGCCAGTAAACACAAGTTAAGCCTAACATGGCACGCTTCTGAAGTAACGGCCAATGTTTCGCTTCTCATGTATAGCTATTTGAGGTCTTTTGTGATTACCTTTCCTTCTGTTGGTGAGTTAATCATGAGCCAAGAAACCAGAAGACTGCGCAAACACCACGAATACACTTTATGTGGTCATCTGTAGCTTTTCTTGGCATAGCAAGAAGCTACAGAGGTAGGTGGGATGTGTCTTGTTAAGTGTGTCGGTTCCTTTTTACAGGCGATAGGTTCATCCTAAATATCACGGTGGCGGCACTTGGCAAAGTAACTTTCGGAATTTTCGGAATTTACTGATTGATGAAAACCATCCAGTACCCGCATAGATCAGTTTAATTTTCCCTGAGAATTTTCGAAATTGATTGCTAGTCTAACCCGGTGTCCTGCTGAAATACCTATTTAACAATTTTCAAGGGTTGTCTTTGTCGATTAAGTCGAGATTTGTTTGTCATCAGCGTAGGAAGAAATGTATTTCCCGTGAAGCTGATATTTACAGGGTTGGCCCGCATGAATATCAGCGATATTTACAGAGCTTTAAATGTGTTGAGGTATTGTGGTCGGAAAGTTTCCTTTGCTGTCAGTAGGGTGTATTTTGTTCCGTTTGCCGAGGTTCAAAACTAGGTTACGAATGTTTTTGTCCATGGAGGATATAACGTCAGATCAAGAAAAATTAAAGGTTATGCAATAATAAGTCCAACCTGTCTTTTCTCATGACAAAGCAGTGATATTTCTTTTTCTGTGGTAACGAGAGTATGCCATTCTATTAAAAAATAATTTGCCAGAGATTTTCTTTGCGATTATGTTTTTCGTTAGCTGTGGGCGTTTTTATGCCAGCAGTTGTGGACAGTTAGTTGGGCAAATCAGCATGAAATTCAAAATTAACCGAGTATGGTCAGCTTATTGGTGGTTTTGGTATTTGTGGCAAAGTTGGGTGGCCCGGTCCACCACCATTTAGGGCTTCGAGTAAGAAAGCGCTTTTATTGGAAGGATCCGTTTATATTACACACAGCGGGGTTGCTGTTGAGGAATATGCAGACGCAGAAGGTGCTGTCGTGCAATAAGCGCGCTTACATCCCATTTCAGTCGTAGCCAGTAAGTGGAGTTTGGGAATGTTCGGTTAACAATTAAATCGGCGGTGATAGGTTTAAGAACGGAAATTAATTTTTATGTACCTGCTTACTTGGAAAAACCATGATGGTAAGCCTGAGTAGTACTCATATTGCTGTCTTGAGGCACTCTAATAACGCAGACGGATTTTTCATGTACTTATCGTTAAGCGGCCAGTTTCCCACAGTGAAATCCTTTTGGTCCAGGCAATGCTGTGTCAAACAAGCTAACATGGTACCGTAACCAGAATATAGTTCACCAAGCGGGTGGTTTAATTTTACTAGCTAAGCCGCGAGTTTTTTTAAAAAAAGTTTAAAGTTATTTGCATGCAACAAAATGGGCCTTTTTTAGACCTTGGATGCGTTATTGCTTGAACCTGACTTCACTTTCCCGGCATAAAAAGGTCACCTCAGCTTTTTTTGCTTCCTCACTTTTATTAATGTCTTTCAGGAGCGTTAGCGTGACGCTTTAGTCTGCATGAACTTTTTTGCCTGACTAACTTTACCATACGTGTTAAACTCTTGAAGTTGGCTCTCTTAAGCTATTTATAATCAGAATGTTGGCCTGGTTTTTGCCCTTGGTATGTGAAGTCACTTGTGTAAATACACTCCAAAGAGCCTTGAAAATTCTGTCTATTCGTTCAGCTAACCAGTTCTCTTGAGAATTTTCACGTGAGGACAGTTCATTCGGCTCTACCGTCTCACATACTCTGTTTTCTTCATTCAAAGTTTGATCCATGGTCAGATTGTAACCGACTGAGTTGGGAGGGACCCAGTAAGAATTCGTAATATATGTGATTGCGTTTTCTGTGGCGATTGCGTGAATTCAGAAAGTTGGCATCTGTCTACACGATGTTAAGCTCCACATAGCTCAGTGATTATGATACTAATTTGCTGACTACAAGACTTTTCAAAAACAATCTCAGCTTCTTGGTTTCTTCTGTTTAGACTTGAGGAGCCTGACGGCATGTAAGCCATTCTACTTACTTCAGGTGGCATGGAAGCTAGACCCTAAAAGAGTGGTTTAGTTAATAATTATGCACTTGTTATTTTTACGATTTTGTGAGACAGTTAATCAGTACTGGTCCGTAAATCTTCCTTCTAGGTGTTTCATCCATGGGGTTAAGGATTTCAGCTTCCACCTATCTTTTGGATACCGAACTTTTGTTTCTTGGGGTGGCAAGCTATTTTGTCGTCCTATGTGCTTGTGGGACAAACAAGTTTGACCTGACTTTCAACGATTGACCGCGTCTTAGCAGCAACTCAAAAACACACGTAAACGGTGTTCGGCGTGTTCTAAGTTGTTAATACCAGAATGTCTCAGTACTGGGGGAATCTCGAAGTGACAGATGGCATGAGATGGCTTGGTGGTTAGAGCGCGAATCTACTAACTTGAAGGTCCGGGGTTCGAACCCAACCACCGCCTCTGCCTCTGCCTATGTCTAGGCTTATCCAACCTGGCAGTATACCGGCACTCATGCTTCCTTCTGGCAGCGTGGAAGCCGAGCGCCTAAAGGGCGCTACAGCTGACCGATATAATATTGATGATGCCCGCTAAATGGTGCATTCTTGGGAGGGAAGGCGACATGTAATAGACCACCCACCCACTGAACTCACAGTTCATACCTGTGGTCTATATTTCAACTTACGTGCATATGTATGTATGCATGTGAGTGTAAACCTTTAGATGAGAAGAGATGCAGTACGTACGTATAGTTGCTTTGATTAGGGACCATGAAAAAGAATTGCTAACGGGCCCTGTAATGTGTGCTCAAACATATAAAGTTTCAAAGTTGAGCAGACTGGCTGGTGGAGCTGTTGCTATCACCACAATCTCATAAAAAATTTCTCTTTGTTTCCTCTTATGAAAACTGTACTCGAACAATAAATACCTCATTCAGGATTGTGTAGT